ACTCCAGCAAGTCTCCTGCCCAAAGGTACTCAGCTTTCTTGCTCTGTGGGCGGGGAAGACCATTGCACCATCTCCTGCCAGTCTCTTTTGCTGCCATTTCTCTGCCACCGCTTCTCACCATCTTCAGTGTTACAGGTCTCTTCTCTCTCTCTCGGTCTCCTGGTTCCAGGAGCTTCTCAGTGCAGGGATCCTGGGCCCAAAGGACTCACTCCACTCCTCTCTATTCTTCCTTGGTGGTTGTAAGGTCCTCTCTTGCTCTGGAATTGGCTCTATTTTAAGCCTAGCCTTGTTAGGGTGACATATACGTTATAAGCATGGTCCCACTCAGTCACTTGGGTGGGAGTTACAAAACCGTGGTGAGAAAGGCCACAAAAAAGTGATCCATTGCACTACAAAAGTAAATGAAAATGTTTTTCCTGTGTCTGAATAAATATTCAAGAATGTATAAAAATAATAGCAAAATTTATAGCACACTTAACAAATGTAGGGCTATTCTAAGGTTTTCATAACAACACCATGATGTGAGTATTGTTATCATCCTCATGTTTACCTATGAGGAAATTGAAACCCAGAAGATGAAAGAATTTGTGCAAGGTCATGTTGAGCTTGGATTTGAAACCAGAAATTCTAGCTCCACAATCTGTGCTCTTAGCTGACATGCTGTAAAGACTCTCTATGTTCTTTCCATCTTAAAATGTAACATTAATCAATTTGAAAATAAATGTGGAATTTTTTACATTTTCTTCCTTGAAATCATGCAAAAGACCTAACTGTGACCTAGACCAAGAAACTGGTGAATGAGAGCAATTGCCAAGCTCTTTCTCTTTACAGAGAATAGTGACAACCCAGAAGTGTGCTTTATGGCAAGTTGCCGTTTCCCAGAATGTTTTTACAAATCTTGACTATTCTAAAATAGGCAGTATCTTAGTCATCTAGTGCTGCTTTAACAGAAATACCACAAGTGGCTGGCTTTAACAAAGAGAAGTTTATTCTCTTACAGTCCAGTAGGCTGGAAGTCTAAACTCAGGGTGCAGGCTCCAGGGGAAGGCTTTCTCTCTCTGTCAGCTCTAGGGGAAGGTCCTTGTCATCAGTCTTCCCTTGGTCTGGGACCATCTTAGCTCAGGAACTTCAGGTTCAAAGGACGTTCTCTGCTCCTGGCCCTGCTTTCTTGGTGGTATGAGGTCCCCCAACTCTCTGCTTGCTTCCCTTTCCTTTTATCTCTTGTAAGATAAAAGGTGGTGCAGGCCCAGGGAAACTCTCTTTACATTGGATCAGGGATGTGACCTTAGTAAGGGTGTTACAATCCCACCCTAATCCTCTTTAGCATAAAATTACAATCACAAAATGGAGGACAATCACACAATACTGGGAATCATGGCCCAACCAAATTGATACACACATTTTGGGGCGGGACATAATTCAATCCATGACAGGCAAACAGATAGATAAGCAAGTTGACTTGCCATAAGATTTTCACCTAGTTAAATAAGGTGCTGTCATCTTTATTTCTTACTGAAAGTATCTTTGCTCTTCTCTCATGGGATGCCCCGTAGGAGGGATGCATTCTTTGACAGTGGATGGGAGAAGAGAGACTGTTAAACAGAAATTTTTATTACTTTTGCTACCCCATTCTACAGCATATCTGAATTCATAACATCCAAACATGTGCCAAATAATCTTTTTGTTATTTAACACTCATTTTGCCCTTTATGGGAATTTATACAAGGCAAGGAAAAATATGAAGCCCTTCTGTGGGTTTAAATCAAAACGCGTTGCCATCGAGTCAATTCCGAATTGTAGTGACCTGATAGGACAGAATAGAACTGCCCCATAGGGTTTCCAAGGAGCGGCTACTGCATTCATATTGGTGACCTTTTGGTTAGCAGCCGAGCTCTTAACTACTGCACCAAGGGTCCACTGTGGATATATGATGCCTAAATTAGAAGAAATTTCTGAGTTGTCCCTTTATTTGGCACCCTGGAATTTTCCACACCCTAGTGAAATGCATCATAATAATAACATAGGAGCTAGAGAGAAAAAATACAGGTGATTACAAAGGGGGAGTTAGAAAAGTATAATTGGCCTGATGTCCTGACCCCAGAAGTCCTCTCAGACAGATCAGTTTTAGGCAAATATATATATGAAAGTTGAAGATCTGGAAATAGATTCCCTTAAAACAATCCACGCCTGCATAATACTCTTCAGAAAACCTTTGTGTACTTCCAAGAGTATGAGGCACAGACTCCATTTGAAGACCATTGTGCTAGATAGATCAGCAGCACAATGGCACAAGTTCTAGAGGGGGCAGCACTTTAACCCTGTCCACTTCTTGGATTTTTGGACGAATCAAGCGTGCTTGATGAGCTAAGGTTTCATCAGGTTGGAGGATAGGTGCATTCCATGGCTAAACTTGGGCAATGATGCTTCCAAACTCCATGGACACACTGTACTTGCTGGGAGTATCGAGATATTCACAGCATAACCACGTGAATAAATTACAAGCAAAATTGCTCCTCATGGTTTTCTCCCTTTCCATCTTCCTCCATCTCAACAGGCCCATTCCTAATCATTTGATGTTTCATTTGTTGTTTATCTTTGCAAATCAGAAATTATATTTGCAAGACATGCCTGATAATATATTTTTTAAATCATATTTTATTGTGTTTAAGGTGAAAGTTTACACAGCAAATTAGGTTCCCGTTTAACAATTTCTACACAAATTATTCAGTGATATTGATTACATTTTTTACAATGCTTCATCATTCTCATTCATTTCATTCTGGTTGTACTATTTCCTGTACTCTAGCTTACCTGCCCCCTTACCTTTTCATCTGTGCTTTAGAGTAATTTTTTTAAAAACATTTTGTTGCAGTTTAGGTGAAAGTTTACAGAGCAAAACAGTTTCCCATTCGACAATTCATACACAGATTTTTTTGTAACATCGGTTGCAACTCCTTCAGTGGGTCAGTGCTCTCCCTACTTCCACCCTGGGTTCCCTGTTTCCATTCACCCAGCTTTCCTGCCCCTTCCTGCCTTCTAAACTTTGTTTTTGAGTAAATGCTACCCTTTTAGTCTTGTATATTTGAATGTTTTGAGGAGCTCATTCCTCACTGGTGTTATTGTTTGCTTTATAGGCCTGCCTAGTGTTTGGCTGAAAAGTGATCTCCAGGAGTGGGTTCAGCTCCAAGTTTGAAGGGTTGCCTGGTAATAGTTTCAACAGTCTTATTGGAAACCCTATGAGGCAGTTCTACTCTGTCCTATAGGGTCACTATGAGTCGGAATCGACTCGACGGCGGCGGATTTGGTTTTTGGTTTTATTGAGATACAATTTACATACTGTGTGAAAAAAAGAAAAAAAACATGCCATCTATTATGACTCATGGAGACCCCATGTGTATACTTCACCTATTTAAAATGTATAATTCGATGATTTTTAGTATATTTATAGAGTTGTACTTGGTGAATTCTTTCTATCTGCAGACTCAAATCTTTCTTTTCATTGTTCCTTTGCTTCCTCTCATCCGTCTCTTCCTTTCTTCCCTCCCTTTTGAACCTTATTATTTGCATGTTAGTCCTCCTGATCAATCCTCCAAGTGTCTATTTTCCTTATGATATTCACCTCCGTATTGTTATATCTAATTGAAAGATGTCTCCCATTTGCTCTTCCAGATTAGGCAATTTAATTCTTAACAGTGGCCAGCCTCTTTCAATGTGTCTGTTATTTGTCTATCAATTTATCTAAAGTCTTAAACTTGAATAGTGCATCTTTTAAGTTTTTTTTTTTAATGACTAATTGTATTCCCTTGCCTGATCTTACTTATTTTCGCTTATGCTTTCCACAGTTCACACCAGTGGGAGGCACCTTTACAGGGTGCTCAACTCAGTTTCTCCTTCTGGTGGCTGGGTCCCTTTAAGTGAGGTGGTTTGTTGCTTGTTCTTTTTTTGCCTGCTCATGGCTCAGTATGACCTCATTGATGACGTCCAACTGTTTAGTCTGCTGACACTTGAGAAATCCAGTGAGTGGTGGAAAGTGCAGCAGTTTCCACTGCCATGAATCCACCAGCAAATGCTAATTCTCTCCTGAGGGCTGTGTCCCAGGTGGGAGCCCTCTCACGGCCTGTGGATTTGGAGCAAGCCCACTTTCCAAAGAAGCTCACCTTCTGTCCTCCAAAGCCTATAGGATTAGGTAGTCCCCTCCCCTGAATCCACTAAAGGGATACATGTAGCCCTTTTGGTTGGGGATTTACAAGACTCTCAGGCCCAGGTGTTTGTCATGCACCTCTTGAAGGTTAGACCTTAGCACGTCAGACAGTCTTTCCCTTGGGAAAACAAGAAGCACTCTGAGAGAGAAGTGCAACTAGCACCTTTGTTAAGTAGCCCAGGTCTGGAGCAGATGCAAATGCCCTGGGAACTGTGAGTCTGATGAACATAGTTCACAGCGCACATAATTGCCCTTTCTCCAACTCATCATGCTCTGGGCTCCCTATGTACTACCACAACCCAGAGAATCCAGGCACCTGTCCTCCCTTCCCATGTCTCCCAATTCAATTCTCCTGCCATCCTGCGTGAGTCTCAGTAATACGGGGGTCTTGCTTGGGGCAAGAAGAACTAGAAAGTGAGTACAGACATGAATAAGATCTCTGGATTTTACAATGGAGATTTTGACTAACAAGTGGACTCTGGCATGAGGTTCTCTCATGTGACTGGGAAATTCGGCTCAAAGCTAGAGACACGTACTCATGTGCACACACAGGTTCTTGATCTCATACATATTGGATGAGTTTATTTATTAGCTAAATGACCAATATATTCTCTTCTTTCCAGTGTCTGGTAAAAGCAAGAGTGAGGGAGGAAGTGTCTTTCCCAAGGCTGTCAGAGACACAGACAAAGCTGGGAGGGGGCTCTTGGGGATGAATGAAAGGAAACTCAGATCTCTGGTTTCCCAGCTCAACTTCTTCTCTGAAGAATGAAACACTCTGGCTTCAGGGGCCCCTCAGGACTGGTTGTCTCTCTCACTCATCTCCACGGCTACTGAACATACTGGTCTCCTTCAGAACCAGTTATGGCTCCACCTAGGCCTATGATGGACTCCATGATTCCCTCCAGGACCGGGGCCAAGGTTGGGGCCATGGGGCCGGTAAAGAGCAGTGTTGAAGACATTTCTCAGTGACAGGGAGTTTCTCTAGAAAAAAGAAGGGAAGACAGTTTCAAGGTTGTATTTCTCTCTCCCAACCCTTCACCAGGGACTCCTTCTGGAATCTGCCCTCCTTCCAACCATCTCCTTAATTTAGTACTCCGTCCTCCAGCCTTTATTCCTTTCCCCAATGTGCGTGGTTTCTTATGCACATTGATTGGTTCCTCTGGTTCTAACTTGCAAGTTCTCTTTTATAAATCTTTCCTGATCTCTCTTTCCTCACCTACTATTCGCATCCCATTTCCTTATGTCCCTGCTGCTCCTTCCCCCAAGCACTTTCCTACACATTAGGCACTCACCACACAGACATAGAGCCCACCAAAGAGTCCAACGGCAATTGCAACTGAGGCCAGCGTGATGAGGAAGATTTCCCATGGCTTCAGGGACCCACTAGGCTTCTCATTAGTGAGAGTAGCAGCACTTGTGCTAATCCTATTTGAAGTTGTGTGGGTTCCAGTTGGAGTAGGTGTGCCAGAGCCACTGGAGTTTCCGCTCGACCCATTGTTGGCAGTTGTGCTATTCCCACTTGAGGTTGTACCAGACCCAGTGTTGGCTGGTGGGCTGGTCCCACTGGAGTTGGTGATGGACTCAGTGCCTGCTGGTGTGCTAGTCCCACTGAAGGTTGTACTGGACACAGTATTGGCTGGCGTGCTAGTCCCACTGGAGATTGTACTGGACCCAGTGTCAACTGGTATGCTAGTCTTACTGGAAGTGGTGCTGGACCCAGTTTCAGCTGTTGTGCTAGTCTCGCTGGAGGTTGTACTGGACCCAGTGTCGGCTGTTATGCTAGTCCCACTGGAGGTTGTACTGGGCCCAGTGTCAGCTGGTGTCCTAGTTCCACCGGAGGTGGTGATGGACTCAGTGTTGGCTGGTGTGTCAGTCCCACTGGAGGTGGTGACGGATGCTGTGGTGGCTGGTGTGCTAGTCCCACCGAAGGTAGTGTTTGTTGGTGTGATAGTCCCATTGGAAGTTATGCCTGATGATAATCCTAAATATGGACAAATATACATTAAGCATATATACTTTGTGTTCAAAGCTTATTTAATTGCACTAGGAGGTGGATAAATCTATTCAATACTCACTACAGCCCTATGACATAGATACTACTATTATCACAAGCTAAGATGATGAAATTGAGACTTAACAATATTAAGGTGCTTGTCCAAGTTCATACAACTAGTAAGTAGTGGAACAGGAACTTACATCTATGCTGTTGCATCTGCGCTCTTAACTACTATAACAAGTCGCCCTCCAATACTAGGGTTACGTGACCTGGTTTCACTGGTAGATAAGCTTATTCCATATTCTGCTGTACAAGATCCAATACAAATAAAAAGTGTACAAAATGAGATTGTAGGACCTAGGTGAAGCTAGTATACATTAATGAATACATTCTAAAAGAGTTGTTCCCTTCCTCTTGGACAATGTTTCTCAGAATGTTATTCAGGAAACATCTGCTTCAGAATCACCTAGGGAGCTTGTTGAAAATAAAGATTCCTAGGTACACCACTCCAGACTAAATGAATTAGTTTTTGAAGTGGGGCCCAGGTATCTGTATCTTCAACAAGTGACCAGGTGATTCTACGTGCACTGTAGTTCCAGGGACTCTGATCACTATGGCAAAGGCTGCAGAAGAACAAGTTATGTGTATCTTAAATGCATAAAACCTCCCAGGATTAAGGACTGAAAACTAAGGTCCATAGATATAGGGAAGCTTCTCAACTTTCTTGGATGCTCAGCTGGAGTTAGGGTTGTGCCTATATTCTGCCCCTCACTTCCTGAAGGACCAAGACAGCCCCCCCAGAGCCTGTAATTTCTTATTTCATTTGTGGCTCATTTTACTGCTAAGTAGGACATGAGTGCCTATCACCTTATCCTTTACAAGTGTATTTTTTTTTCCCGTCTTATTTGAACTAACATAAGATTAAAGTTTAGCTCTATTTTGAGAAGGCCTCCCAAAATCTGTAATGTGGTACAAATTGAGGTTAAGGTGAGAATTATGAATAAAACTAAATAAGAAACTGAGATGATCAAGAGTAGAAGTGCCATGTGAAAGAGGTAGTGGATTTGGTGTGTGAAGTTTTGGAGAACAAAGTAAATGGGTCAAAATTATAGGAAGGCTAATTTTAGTTCAAAGTGATGAATTTGCTAAGAAGTCATCGCTTTCCAGCTGTGCAATAAATAGGAAATGGCCAACGAAGTGTTTAATAGAGTGTCAGAGGCATAGAAATGGGGAGCGGGTCAGGGGGAGTCAATTTTGACTCTTAAATTCTATTGTCCTTAGTCTGAGTCTGACTTGGCTAATGTGGAGTCAGGGTTAAGGACAGGAGAGAAACTGGGTTTTTAGAATATACGAGTGATATTTCAAAAACAACCAGCTCTTCTTGTTCTTAATATTTAAATCTTCAATCATATCACACAGAATATTACCATTTTACAGATGCAGAAACTGAGGCACAGAGAGGTTAAGCAACTCATCCAAAGTACACAACTAGGAAACGGAGCCATGATTCAGACCTAAACAATTTAGGGCCAGAACCCATGGTTTTAACCATTATGCTCTGACTGCCTCCTGGGTGATAGATACATGTTAAACTGAAGTGATTAGAGTAAAATGATAATCCTCTCTCCATGAAGAAGAACCAGAGCTAGTCCCAGTAGTGGTTTCCATCTCCCACAACCCCTCAAATGTCCTCAGACCACCCACTTGTAAATAAAATCACTCACCAGATTCTAAAAGTAGGAGATGCAATAGTAACCAATATGTAAGGGGAATGTTTCCTTTCTTCATCTTGATCTGCCTCTTTGTGACTGGAGAGCAAGGTTCCTGGATCCCAGATGTGGCCAAGACCTAGAGGGCAAAGAACAGAGAATTCTTGAAAAAGAAGAGTTCAAGGTGAAGAGACAAAGGCTGGAGCCTCTGGGATCTTGGGTCTCCTAATTACGGGTTCTTGGGAAGAATCTTGAGCTTGAGGTGGGGAGTGTGTGCTCAATGCCTTGGTTCCTTAGGTTTTCTCCATGTGAGGTTGTCACCTATTTCTCTATTGTGGAAGAGCTGCAGGGGCCTTTATAGCTTCATACAGGCTGGGGAGGGGTTGGGCATTTGACCTATTGCTTCTGCCAGCTGTGAACAGGTGATAAAACAATACTGAGCCCAGGGAAGGAATAGACTAGGGGTCAAGAGGAAGATGAGAAAGAAGAATGGCATGACCATGCTTGGCAGGGCACTGGGCTGGGCTGAAGCAGGAATTAGGATGGGTTAAGAAGATCAAGGTTGTCAGAGTAGAGGGGACCCACCCTCTGAGGCAGAGATGGGACCAGAAACCTGTTCTAGCTCAAGACTGTTTCCTGGTGAGGAAGTCTGATGTGCTTGGTTTAGCATAGAAGAAGCCCTAATGAACTGAGCTGATGGGGCAGGAACCCTCATCTCTGAAGCAAACAGAAATATGAGACTCAAAAGAGAGCAGTTACTAGGGAACTGGGATCCTGGGTTATGGGCAGAAGACAGATGGAGCATTGCTGGGTATGCAGTAGGCATTCAACAACACATGTTGAATAAACAGGAAAAGAAAGATCCAGGGAATAATGAAGCTGTCTTCAGGATCTCTGGGGTGTAGGGGCTGAAGGTGTGAGGAGAATGTTGGATACGAGGGAACAAGCCACTTGGGACTTTGTCAGAAAACCATAGCAAGTGAAAAGGTGATATAGGGCCCCCTTCTTACCTGCAACCATAGGAGCTCCCCTATATTTTGTTTTCAGAAGGATGCATAACAGCTTCCCCACCCTGGGATCCTTCAGATGTTCCTTCTGATCAGTCTTAATGAAGCATCTTTCAGTAGCCTATACCACAGGGAGAGGCACAGGCACCACCTTGAGAGACTTCAAGTCTGGTGGGGGAAGGGAGATATATAGTCTGAGTGCCTGCAGTGCAATAAATTGCTTTTGTGTGGCCTTTCTCGCTATGGTCTTGTAACTTCCACCCAAGTGATTGGGTGGGACTGTGCAATTGTGGCCCACCAAAGGGATTGGTCAGTTTTGCCATCCTGCTGGGCTTGAAACAAGCCATCCCAGGGGTGAGAAATAGAGGATCCCACCACCACCAATTGAAGAACAGCCAAGAGCAGAGCGTGTCCTTTGGATCTGGGATTCCTGTGCAAAGAAGCTCCTGGAAACAGAACACTGAGAGAGAGAGAGAGTTGGAACACAAGATGGCAAGAAGCAGTGGCAGAGAAACCTCAGCAGGAGAGACCAGCAGGAGACAGCACAGCAGGCTTCCTGGCCCACGGAGGGAGAAAGTTGAGCACCTTTGGGAAGGAAGCTTGCTGGCAGAGTAGGGTGTCTCTGAGTACTTATCAGCAGAGCTAAAAGAGCTTTGTAACACTTGCTTGTGCAGGGCAGAGGCTGAAGGCCAGGGAGAGGCCTGCCTGTGGGCACAGCTGGGAAGAGGCTGTCCTGATGGAAGAACTGCATCCTAAGTGTTCCTGAACCTGAATTGTAACCCATTACTTCCCTAATAAACCTCATAATTGTGAGTATGGTCTGTGAGCAATGAATTATCAAACCAGCAGAAAAGTAGAGAGTGCCGCGGGAAGGACAGTTGGTGTCAGAATTGGTAAAGATGGCGGAGAGAGGAGGTGTATCTGACCTCCGCCTCACAGGAATCAGCCTTGGGCTGTTGATATTGATTCTCCTTCCCCCTTGTGAAGTTAGAGGAGGTCAGACACCGCCCCTATGCCATTTTTTACAGTCCTTGAGCAGATCTAAGTCTGATCTAGACATTTGGATGTGGCCAGAAAAAGGACACATGATCAGCTAAATGAGCATGACTGAACAGAGCTCTGGTGGCACAGAAGTTAAGAGTTTGGCTACTAACCAAAAAGCCGACAGTTCAAATTCACCAGCTGCTGCTTGGAACCCCTATGGGGCAGTTCTATTCTGTCCTATAGGGTCGCTATGAATCAGAATCAACTTGAGGGCACTTAACAACACAACAATGAACAGACCCAAATGAGCAGAGTTTTTAGGAGTTCATGATGAGGGTGTCTTGTGACTGGGAAGGTGAGGATGGGATTGATGGGAATTTCAGTGTACTCTCTGAATGACCAAGGTGAGCTGTCTTCATTTCTCTCAGTGACAACCAGCTTTGTGGAAGAGGTGACATCCCAGATAGGTTATTTCTGGGTGAACGAGCACTCATAATATGTAAGACCTGTAAGCAACAGGTGGCTGAGGACGTGAAGGAACTTGGAACGAATGTGTATGAGAGGCAGCAATGAACTGGATGCACTGGGAAAGGCTTAGAAGTGGATCTGTGTAGTGGCTGTGACGGGCAGTTCCTGATGCTGTGGTGGGAGGGTATGGTCAGTGACAGGTTGGGTTATGGACCCCCAGCAATCCTGATATGTGGCTGAAAGTCCAATAGCGCTCCTGGAAAGAAACCTTTTTTTTCCCTCTAGAATCAGTTGGAAGCAGAGGTCCTGGATTCTAATCCAGACTCAACCATTTACTAGTTACGTGATCCACTCACAACACTTCTCTAAGTCTCAGTTTCCTCATTTATATAGTAGAGGTAAACAATATTTGATTGAAATGAGTATTTTAATTATAATTTTTGTTAAACACTGAGAAGCAAAAATATTTATTACATAATCATATATCTGGTATTAAGAATCACAACGCAATGAGTGCTGTGTATTCCGCATTCATTTAAGAAAGAGAACATTACCACAACCTTTATCGTCTCCTACGTGCCCCAAGCTATCCCATCTCCTTCTTTCCCCACCAGATATAACCACTATTCTGAATTTTGTGTTTCTCATTCTCTTGCTTTAAAAAACGTAGTTTACAGATGAATGGATAAACCAAATGTGGTGCATATATACGACGGAATACTACTCAGCCAGTAGAAGCAACAAAGTCTTGATACCTGCTACAATATGGATGGTGCTTGAAGACATTACGCTGAGTAAAATAAGCCAATCACAAAAGGACAAATATTGTACAACCTCAC